CCTACTAATTTGCAGAAGTAACACACAATACATATTCTAATTATAATTAAATAATAACTGAAAGACATTGGGAAAGTGGCCAAATACATGGAAATTAAACAACAAAAACCAACAATCTATACATATAAGAAATCAGTGAGAAGTCAGAAAACATTTTGAAGTGAAGGTAAACAAAAGCCTAACATCCAAATTTGTTGAATTTAGCTAAAACAGTGTTTAGGAAAAGTTTCATGTTAAAAAACATGAGCAATCTAAAGTCAATAATCTAAGTTTTCATTTTAGGAACCTAGGAAAAGAAATAAAATTCAAATTTGCAAATTGAAAGAAATAGTAAAGTCAGCAAAAACGATTAAAATAGAGATTTCTGTTCCCAGCTATGCTAAATAACTTAAACTACGAAAAATAGGAAAAACTATTTGAAGCAAGCATTTTCAAACAATGGACGACTAAGAGGAACATGGAATAGTGACGCCTAGAAGAAGGGAAATAAGGAATGCTGCCTACAGAGATTTCACTCTACACTACAGAGGAGGAAGCCAAACTGAGCCCAACCTTAAGAGGACAGCTGTGAATTCAGAGAACACAGATAGCATTCACAAGGCAGAGTGTCAGAAGCAAAATGTATTTCAGGCCAGACCTGGAAATATAATTACCTAGCAAAAATGAATTTATACTACATACTAGCTTGCTTCTACATTCTGCACCTTTTTCACCTTTCTTACTTCCCAATAGCTATGGTCCTCAAAGAGTCTCTCTTCAAGGGTAACATGTACTTCTATTTCTGCTTTTATTACTGCTATCACTGGCAATATTAAATAACCTACATATGCACACATATATATACACACATGGATATACACACATGCATATATGTGTGTAAGTAGCACTGATTATGTGCTGCAAACTAAGAATTCTACATATATAAAACTCATTTAGTCCTCCTTGAAATCCTATGAGCTGGTGGTGTTATTACCCTTGGCTAAAAACCCTTAGCCAAGATCATGGAGCTAGTAAGAGATGCACAAGGATTGAGACCTAGCACATTGGTTCCAGAGTCCCTTTGTTTCTAGAATGCAAAGATCATTCCATCAGGACCAGAAACCTGATTCTACTTCTATGTCAGACACTAATTAATCAACTATATGATCTAGGGGAAATCTTTGATTCAATTTCCACTATAAGATAAGCCAGCCTCAATGATCTAGTTTGAGTTACATAATGCTGGATGACAAAGTAGATGCCTTTTATTAACAGACTTGACATTAGTAGATGGGGTGGGGGGCTTTGAAGATTGAAAAGGAAGTATACCTAAGGGAAAGGAGGAAGGTAATTAGTAAAAAATACATTAATCTTCTAAACATCTTCTCATTTTATATTCGATGATGCAAACATTACGATCCCTATTTTAAAGAGGACAACACTGGGACTCAGAAATCAAGTTACATGTCCAACATCACACAGATAATCAGGATGGAAAGCAAACATCTGACTGCAACCAAACCCAAGCATTTACTGCTATACCAGAACGCTTCTCTGGGGTCACCTTCCTCTCTTCTCAGCAGCAGTAGGTAGAGATTTAAAAGTACTTACCACAAAATCTTACGAAAGGCACAAACACATTATTTTACAGATGAAGATGGAGACAAGTGAGCACCAATTTTAAAATGCTAATATATTGTTATCTAAAATAAAAGTGGATATATTTTTGTCCAAGTTCTACAAGGTGGCTGAGTACCGTGTCAGAACTACGAATTTCTGGAGGTAAAGTCTGTATGACCTGAATTCATTCCTAAATAAACAATGAAGAAATACCATAAAAATGCCAATATATGTGATACTTCTGGACTATAAATATATTCTCAAGGCAGTGTGCCACATAAAATTACTTCCTAACAGTAACTCCAAATCATTTTGCTAAAAGGAATCTCCAGTTTTCCTGAGCAAGGACTTCACAAACAAACCAGCCAGCAAGGAAGTCTCATATACTGGCTACTTAAAGGAGGGCAGGACAGTCAGAAACTATTGTGGTAACTTACTAAAGTCCTCCTTTGGTTAGAAAATAGAGCCACTTGTTCATTCACAAATTCATCCAATAAATAATAATTGAGTACCAAGTAGGTATGGGCATTATTTTACGAATCAACTTGTGCAAGGACAATAAAAGGGGATGGGATGTAAGTGGTATGATTAAAAGATATATAGGGCGCTATAAGAGCATGAATGGTATTTATGAAGGTTAGAGGACTTCCTAAGGGAAGTAATATTTGAAGGAAGATTAGCAAGTGTGGTGTGTTTAGTAGGAGTCTTTTTATTTATTGAATTCAGCAATCATAATTATACACTTACAGAATTAGGACTTTAACAAGTAATACAGTTCAATGATCTTACTTTTTAAAAAACTGAGCCCTTTAATGTATATGTCCTCCTTAACAAGACGGTGACTGTGACACAAAGTGAGGTCATACTTAAAGAACTCAACACTATTGTGTTGAATAAAAGCAGCTGAGTGCAGCCATGCTGTGACCATTCAGCTTAAAAACCTCTAATCTTTGTAGTGTGGAAGATGTCTGTCATCTGATAGAGTAGGTAATATGATGAATGCCTAGAGACCACCTCTAGCTGATTTTAATGCTATCTATATAATGTTAAAATCTGTCACTGCCTGTCCCTTGTACTTTGTGCGTCCCACAAAGAACACCGAAGACAAAAGCTGCTTAACACATAAACACAGTGAACTCATCAGTTCATCTAAGTCTTTTCTCTTCCTCAAACCCAGCTTGCTCGTTAAATTTTAGTAACATTGAGATGTAGGAGCTGTTATATAAAATGATTCTTTTAAATCACCTGCAGATATTAGCTGAATTTTGGATGAAAGCTTTATCATCTCGAAGTTACTAGCCACTGAGTACCAAGTTAACTATGGTCAACAGTGGAAACAGTCTACCACAAAGCCAAAATCAAGAAATATGAAATGCCAAAGTGTATAAGACACTGTTTCTTTGCTGCTGCATCCAAATAGCATATGAATCTTTTGCAGGTGAGTTTCCATGTTTCACGTCAGGTGACGATAAGGATTCTTGGAATAGTCAGAATTTTGCTTTGTAAAGTTCTACCTGAAATGTATGTGCTATCACCTTGGACTTCTGAGATTTTTTTCCCCCACTTCTGGTATATAACTAGAAAACAAAAATCTAATCACAAAATTTGCATTATTTTTGACAACTCTGAAGACAGAAGTACATCACTTAATGAAATAATTCACTATAGGATTTCTTTAAAATAACATGTTCATTAATAATAACAACTAATTCATGTTAACTTTTCAGGAACATGTATTACATAAAGGTAGACAAAACTCAGAATTTTGAATATTTATTTTAACAGGATTTGACCTCTAACTTTTAAAAGTTTATTATTTATTAAAATGTACGAAGTACTTTGTATTTACATACAAAATAGCTCGCTTATAGGTATAGATAATTATGTACAGGTTTTTTCCCGTTCACAAATGTCACACATGACATATTCAAAAGCGATGTTCTAACTACACAACTCTTTGGTGTATAGGATGCTCTGTGCCTTATACAGTGCTTAGCACTTCTGGCCACTTTCCACTAAATCACTGACAAAAACTCAATGCTTCACACAATCCCAAAGTCCCCTATACAGATTCCTCCCACCTCACTGCTAACAACTGCTCTATAATGACCTAAATATCTTGGTAAGCTACAGTACCTACGTCAGTGATGGCAAACTTTTTAGAGCTTTCAGTACTAACTGCCCGCTACAGTACACGTGTCACAGGTTTGCCACCACTGACCTACCTGCATGCTATTACAGGTGCTTGCCTTGGTGGGGCGGGGAGACTACTGATCCCTGAGCTAAGGCTGAAGTTTCTTTGATATAAGGACTACCTTCAACTGCAAACCCCAGTATACTTCGAAACTAGAATCCCCTAGTAAGAAACTTCATCTAACATTGTATCTGTTTAAAAAAAAAAGCAGACAATAAAGTTATCTTTACACACACAGTAGAGAATTCAAGACAGGTGTACTGATAATTCTGCCTCCTCTCTTTATCGACCTCCCCTAAAATATACTCCCCTGCATTTTCTAGGTAATCAAGGTCAGACTGAAGAGATAACCATTCTCTTTTATACACACAACTGCAAAGATACACTGAAGCAACTGATCCAGAACTCATTTACATATGACATTTAAATGTATTACTGCACTTTTATTTGGTAGAATACCTCCCTAATTAAGTTTGATTAGGCATCAATTAAAAGTAGTTTACATTGCCTACTCAAACCAATGACTAAAGTGTATGTCTTTTGGGTACTTTCTGGGAAAGAATACTGAATCTGAGAAATGGAAAGACACTGACCTGAATATTTTGATCAGTTTCACTTACTGGAATTAGGATATATAGTTTATTTTTGGCACCAAAAAACTTCCATTTTTCCAACAGATTTTATGTTAAATTAGTACATACTCATTCAATTTCTACACATTATGTAGCCTGTTTTTTCACTTTAGTTTTTACTAGTTAGCCAATAATACCTAAAAGAAATCAACATTTCATTTTTAAAATAATTTTGATATGACTATCTTTGTATCTAAAACTAGTACAAAAATTTACCTCATTCACACACAGAAATCACCTCATGATAAAGAACAGCAAATTTCTGGATTACAAATTTTTCAGTATTGTGACTTAGCTGTTTCTACAAATTTTTGACAAAATGTGGAACCTGCATGTTTGTATACTATGTGATATTCACTTCTCAATCAGTTTTAAAGCAACCAGGCATTCAACACCACTCCAAAAGGTTCTATGATTAGAGCATAAGTCATATTTTCTATTATATTAAGCAGAGAATTCTGGTACTGATAAATGAACAACCCCATACATTAAAAAAAGACATGATCTGAAAAAATTTCCATGTCATATAAAAGTTCTGACACATACCGAATATATACTCCAGGCTCTCCACTTACCTAGTACTAGGCTGTTTTTGGAGGGCTTTATCCAGGATAAGAGACGGAGCACTCCTCCTTCTTTCTGCTAGTGTTTTCATCTTCTATTGAGAAAAAAAATCAAAATGAAGACCAGATGGCTTGTAAGAGAAGCAAATGTTGATTTTTTCAATCCAATTCAACAAGTGTTGCATTTTATCAAGGAGACTATAATTTCATTACGGCTGTAACACTATAATATATAAAACAGGATAGTAAATGTTAAAAGAGGTATAGCTAGTATTCTTTATGATCACACAATAAAGAGATTAAAGGTTGACTGTAGAACCTAGGAAGAGCACCATCATAACCATTACTACTGCTTACAATATGTCAGGCTCTATGCTGACAGCTGGACATGAATTATCTCCCTCATGTCCATGAAATACCATCAGTGTAGGCACAGTAGTACTATCTTTATTCCACAGGCAAGACAGTTTCAAAGAACAAAAACTTAGGTCAAGTAAAGTGGAGGAAAGCCAGTTAAAACAAAATCAATGGTGACTAGATTCTCACAGAAAATATAATCTTTAAATTTTATTTTAAATTTAAATACACATTTTGGAATTGCTTATTCAAAAAAGATGTTTTTCTGTAACTAAATATTTTTCTTCTTTTTAAAGTGATATATAAATATACATCAGGTACTCCAGGATAGTTTGTTTCCAATGATCTAAACTTTATGGTAAATGAGGCTTTATTCCACTTGAAGTATTCGGATAATTACTCTCTAAATTCAATCTTACATATCTAACAGCACTAGACATAGCCAGAGGGTCTACTTCTAGAGACAGAGGAGTAAAATTAACAATGTAGTCACAATCACAATAGTCATGAGTGAAGTTCAGCCTGTATCACCAAAGCCATTCTTCCCTCCTACCCTATCCTATGAGACTCAGAGGTCTCACCCATTGCCTAAGGGCCAGGCCAGCCATCCTTGGGAAGAACAAGTTGCTCTAATAGAAACTACATAAAACTAACTAGCAGACTCTGTCAGCACTCCATTACATGATTCACAAAGGGACTGCTTCTTAGCTAGTAAAATAAACATAGATACTAGAATAGGAATCAAGCAGGAATCATCCAGTGAACAGAGATGCTGTACTTCCATGGCGTAATTCTTATCCCACGGATTCACCAGGTTCCCAGGATCTCTCCCAAATGACTGGTGTTACCACTACTTTGGTCTCAGCGTGTTTCCCCCCATTGATCCTTTGGCTTACATGTAGATACTATACCTCCAAATCTCCTAGCAGCAGAGACCATTATATAAAACAGTATATAAAACATTATTAAAGGACAGAAAAACAATGGGGTAAGAAATAGAGATTATCAGAGGGTATTAACCATGAACCAGCTTTTAGGCTCCAGCTATTTGTATGAAAATTTTTTGCGTGTATATTTGGTGCCTTCCTTATACGGAAACAGTCAGTTACCACCAGGTTCCCCGAAGAGTCTAACCCCTCTCAACAGCAGTGATTTCAATAACCTGGTTTCTGTACCATGCTTCGCCAGCTTCAGTGCACGGTTTTCCTTAGTCACAGCCCTTAGAAACGTACCCTTCAGAAATCTAACACACCGAGACTGTGTGACCACTGCAGAGATTGTTGGGGAAAGGAAATACGGGAGCGAATATTTACACTGCAAGGTACAGGCAACATCTATTCATACGAAGACCCTCAACACTAGAAGACTGAATTGATTCTAGCAAGATGGGGGACAGTTTGTTCATACGTACCAAGCTATGTTCCAGATTTATGCACGACTCTGTTTCATGTTCAGGCCTGGGTTTGATTCCTACTGCTTACTGTTACTCCTTTTATTTAGGACTCACTTTTTTTTTTTTAAATTAGAAATGGAGCCAATTTTGTTAGCTTTACTTTAGCCCCTTACCCTCTGTCTGTTTTGACCTTGAAAGTCTGCCTATCTATCTTGTGGGGGCCGTTTCTGCACCTATCTGAGCAGCTTTACGTATGCTTCCCCTAACTTTCTGACATCACTGTCAGTAGGGCCAAGACACTAAACTGGACTTCATTAACACGTGGTTTCAAATGCTGGACTACTTGGCATTCAGGTTTACAAAGGATTGGGATACAGCTCCCAAGAACATCTATAGAATGATTAAATCTGAGAAAGGCAAAGTCTATGGGAAAAAGTTAAAATGATCTGAGATTCTTTGCAGGAAACATTATCACATGAAAATGCAACATTAGCTAGGCGTGGTGGCACACCCCTGTAATCCCAGCACTTGGGAGGCTGAGGCAGGAGGATCGTTGTAAGTTCGAAACCAGCTTGGGCTACAAAGTGAGCTCAAGACCGGCCTGAACTAAATGGAAAGACTCTGTCTCAAAAAGACCAACAACAACAACAAAAAGGCAGCGTTATCACATGGAGGAAAGTAAGCATCTTTCAAAGAAGAGCAAAAAGTGGGCAGAATTACAGAATGAGTATCCAAGTTGATCTTGGGTACTTAATGCCTGAGAATTTACAAAAGCTGCAAACTACATGGTTAACATGTATCTGATGATAATGTAAAAGTTAATTACTTATAAACCAATAGTATTGGTTAAATGGGTACATGAAAAAGAATAGCATTGGGTTTCTAAGTCATAATATACAAAAATTATTTAAAATTGATTAAAGACCTAAAGGTAAGAGCAAAAACCATGAAAACCTGAGGAAAAAACACAGGGAAAAATTCATGAGGTAATCAGTGGTTTTCTAGATATAACACTCAAAGCACTGTCAATAAATGATAAAAACACAGATATTCTTGAGATTTTAAACTCCTAAGCTTCAAAGGCTACCATTCAAGTGAAAAGACAATCCTCAAAATGGAGAAAATTTTGCAAATTATGTATCTAATAAGTGACTTATTTAGACTATGTAAGGAAATTCTGCAATTCTATATGGCAAATTATCTCACAAAAAACACAAGCAAGGATCTGAATATAGGCAATTCTCTATAGCTATACAAACAACCTTAAGCTTACGAAAAATTGTTCAATGTTATTAGCCAGAAAGGAAATTTAAGTAAAAACTACAACGAGATACCACTTCATACACAATAATGTGACTATAATGAAAAAGATTGTTACGGTTTGTGTCTAGATGTCCCCCAAAAGCCTCATGCAGTCACGGGGTGGGCTTCTAGAGTTGACTGACTTGTGGTCCAGTGCTAGGATTATGGGTGTGAATGCTACACCCACCGTGGGGCTAGTAGCCTGCATACAATACAAGGGAGGGACATGTCTTTAATGGTTTGAGCAATCTTTCATTCTTACATCTGGTAATCTCAGCAATGTAGTTGAGGATAGTGATATGTAATGTAACAACCACTGTTGATTCACATTATTTTATCTTGAGATCCTGTATCACTTTGAATGTTCTTGCTCGGATTTGTTTATGTTTGTGATACTGGTATGCTGCTACTGTTCTATTTTTTTGTTTGTTTCTCATTTGCTACTCTCTTTAAAATTAAAAAAAAAGGGGTGGGACGGAGGCTAGCTCTCTGCTGCTCCTCCCTTCTTGCTCTTGCTGCTTTTGCTGTCCTTCCCCTGCCCACCAGGAACTGTTGCCCTCTGCCATGTGCTACTCTGCCTTGCAGCCAGCTGAGTATGGACTGAAACCTCCACTAACTGTAAGCTAAATAAAGCTTTCTTTCCTTAATTTTGGCCATCAGGTAATTTGTCTTAACAATGAGAAAAAAGTAACGAAGACAAAGATAAACAGGCACAGGCAAACACCTTTCTTCAACAGGACTCCAGTATCACAGGAAATAATAGCAAGAGTCAACAAATGGTACTGTATCAAATTTAAAGGTTCTACACATCAAGGGGAACAAACGGAGTCAAGAAATAGCTTACAGGATGGGAGAAAAGTCTTTACACCAGCTACTCTTCTGGCATAGGATTAATATCTAGAGTACATAAAGAACTAAAAAAAAGACCTTAAAAATAAAACAAAAATCAAAAATCAATCAATGAATAAGCAAAAGACTTGGACACTTCTCGAAAGAAGACATACAAGAAGACATACAAATGGCCAGTAAGTATATGAAAAAATGCTCAACGTCTTTAACCATTAGGGAAATGCAAATCAAAACTGCACCAAGATTCCATCTCAATTCACTCAGAATGGCTGTCATTCAGAACACAAAAAATAAATCCCAGTAAGGATGTAGGGAAAACAGGACTCTCCTACACTGTTGATGGCAATGTAAATTAATACAGCCACAAATAGTATGGACAGTCAAAAACAAAACAAAAAAAACCCCTAAAAACAGAGCTACCTTTTCATCCAATTATCCCACTCCTCGGTATATATCCAAAGCAATTAAAAAACTCAGCACACTATAGAGATCCTCGCATACCCATGTTTAATGTGGCACTATTCACAATAACCAAGGTGTGGAAGCAGTCTAGGTGCCCATCAACATCTGATTGGATAAATCACACACACAATGGAATATTACTTAGCTACAAAAACAAAATTGTCATCTGCAAGAAAATGGATGGATATGAACACCATCAGGTTAAGCAAAGACAGATTCAGAAAGTCAAACATCACATGCTCAGCCCTAAAACACAGTATGACAGAAAATTACAGTGAATATTCAATTTTTTAAAAAAATCAGTTATAATAAAAGACACACTGACATTAAGCCCTTCAAAATATTCTTCACATTAAACACTTGTCCCATTTTCTGAAACAGTCCTGGAAATCCTTTCAAGTGTCTTTAGTTGTAGTGTTGCGGCTGCCTTGATGTCCTGAATTGATTCAAAATGTTTACCTTTCATGGTTATTTCATTTTGCGGAAGAGCCAAAAGTCACACAGCACCATATCTAGTGAATAAGGTGGATGAGGATACTCTGTAATGTTTTCATGAATTTGCCTTCCATTGAAAAGTACTCAGTAGCAGAATTCACCATATATCTGATCACACTTCATACAGACATGAAAGATAACTTTCAGAACAGCTTCAAAAAGTGGCAAAAATGATGGGATAGGTTCATTTGCAGTGAGGGGAGGTAATCTGAAGGGAAAAATATACACATTGAA